TCCACTTATATTAGATATGGTTATTTTGAAAATTTAATCATCAAAAGAAAAGATGTAAAAATAGGAATAGAGAGGTCGTAAGAGAAAAATAAAGGGCCAATTATATACATAACTAAACTCAAACAAACTCATTCCTCGGTTATTAGTCATCACTAGCGGTGCAAAATGCTAATGTGCTCCTAATAACGACCAATGCCATGTGAGTCAAACGAGGTTAAGTAAGTTTGTGCGTCTCTCATGACTTAAACTTCTAAATGATCAAAGCCCATTAGCATTTTATGTTAGGACTTAATTTCTCGGAGTTGCAGCTCCATTTGAAAACCCTCTCGTTTAATGCATGCATCTGCGTAGATGCTTTATTTTGTGTTTTTCTTTTCTTCAAAAAGTAACTGGCGCTAGGGTTAGGGCTAGGAAAATGAATCATGAATTGGGCTAGGACTAGGTAGGGTCAGGGTTTGCAACAGCTACTTAATTAAAGGATTCTGTTTTTTATCTTAAAAAGAGAACGAGAGATATCTTCGATCCCTTATCAATTACCAGATTAGGAAAATGAATCATGATGGAGGAAGGTCGCTCTCGACATGGGAAATTAATGAGCAAACAAGAGTCACAAAACCCTCCAATGGGAAGTGGTCATCTTCCTGCAGAGGGCCAGTAAAGAGCAGCGTATATTCATAATGACGTCGTCGTATTTTCAGAGGCGGGAGAAATTGAATTTCCAGACCTAGGAGTGGTCCAAGATAGCCAAGTTGTTATGAAGCTACTCCATCTGAGTGCTCCTATATTGGAGGGACACATTTCACTTGTCCCCCTATTGGTCCCATATTTTGGGTCCTTGGGGAATTTTTCTACCAACATATTCAAATATAAATCTTAACAAATCAAAAGGGCAACCGCATCTCAACTCTAGTATTAACTATTCATAAACGATCGCGTACTTCGTAATTATTACTATCAGCTTGAAGAGCTTCTCTAATCCTTACAGGCATCGGGACCACCAATATAGGATCGCTCAGATGGAGTAGCTTCATAACAACTTGGCTATCTTGGACCACTCCTAGGTCTGGAAATTCAATTTCTCCCGCCTCTGAAAATACGACGACGTCATTATGAATATACGCTGCTCTTTACTGGCCCTCTGCAGGAAGATGACCACTTCCCATTGGAGGGTTTTGTGACTCTTGTTTGCTCATTAATTTCCCATGTCGAGAGCGACCTTCCTCCATCATGATTCATTTTCCTAATCTGGTAATTGATAAGGGATCGAAGATATCTCTCGTTCTCTTTTTAAGATAAAAAACAGAATCCTTTAATTAAGTAGCTGTTGCAAACCCTGACCCTACCTAGTCCTAGCCCAATTCATGATTCATTTTCCTAGCCCTAACCCTAGCGCCAGTTACTTTTTGAAGAAAAGAAAAACACAAAATAAAGCATCTACGCAGATGCATGCATTAAACGAGAGGGTTTTCAAATGGAGCTGCAACTCCGAGAAATTAAGTCCTAACATAAAAAAGATAAGTAATCAAACATAAAATGTTTATGAACATCTTGTTTTTTATTATTGGTTTTTCTAACGGCTGAGGGACCTATTAGGAAATAAGAAAGATTCCGTGGCGCACTAATTTCTCTTCTTATCTCTCCTCTCTATATTTCTCTCATCCTCAATGCTGGGTGTCCATGGGCAACTATTAGAAAAACACTTATATTATTTAATATGGATGTTATATAAATATCGAGTTATCAAATCTTGATGTTACTTTAAAATTCATATTTTCATACATTCATATTTGAAAGTTTACTTTAAAATTCATATCTACTTTTATACTCACGAAAATTCAATTGGAAATGAATAGTGATAACTAGCTAGAATGTAACTTTTTAAACTACTATTACATTACTGCATCCAAACGCTGCTTTTTTTGGAGGGTTACGGTAGGGGGGGTTTCCATGGTGACTCATGCGCCTAGCAATTAATGTAGTAGTTTAGAGAGTATATATAGTTTATTTATAATTATCATCATTATATAAACAAGAGACCGATTTACGTTTTTTAAATTATGGAGGACGATCAGTTTTGTCATTCATCCACGTGTATATAACATCTTAATGTCATGCCTTACTATACGTATATCAAGAATTAATTCTCGATGATGATATCAAGGATCTAAGCTTTTCATTTTTTTAAAGAAAGACACAAAAAAAAAATTAGATGCGTTTTATTAGGATATATGACTTTACGTACCCCTTGGGCTGTTATGAATATTTTAAAAGATATTGGAATATTAATTGGTCGGGGGGCATGCATGTACAGGGAAGCAGGAGTATGTTATTGAGTTTTTGGTCGCACTGGGGAACAATATTGTGAGTGCAGGGCTTTGTTTTGGTCTTGCGCTACTTACATATGGATTGGTTTTTTGCCTGCAAATTAATAGTAGCTACCACGCAGACCTACGCGCTAGCCAGTAATCATGGTCACGTCCTCTCAAACATAGGCCCTCGAGTATTAATTTGGAATTTAATTTTCCTTACGCTGCCCTTTGAACAAATCATGTTGACTCATATATTGTGATTCATGAACCGTTGATGTACAGGATAAGTAAAGAACATGGAATGAGAATACTGACTTGGGACCATGGACAAGAAGGGCAAGATCCTTAGTAATGTTGCCTGACTCCACCGTTTCAACCCATGAAGACTCGAGTTTCCGGACAAATTCCAAGAGTCTATCATGCTTGTCAAGCTTTGCTCTGCACAGAAAACAATCAACAATTTCAATAAACAAACTCCATGAAAGATTTTGTAGACTAACGTCGAATTTATCATAGCAGAGTTGGTTCTATTTAACTGCTACAGGTTTAACATTACTGTCATTGCACTCTAAGAAAATTATCCAATATTCAACTTCCAAAGATTGGAAAGACTAAAGGCTACAAGTTCACGGTACAACATAGGACCACAACACTTACCTGTGTTCAAGTCGATGTGACCACGCAAAAATGTGGAAGCAATATTGTTTGTGCTAGTCTCCTGTCCCTTCTGGTCTTGTAATCAAGGAGTGAGAAATAATGCAACTTGATATCAGAGAAATAATGCAACTTGCAAAGATAAGTAATGAGAAATAATGCAACTTTAGAGCATTGATATCAGAGAACAATGCAACTTGTCATTGAACATATTAATTATATCAAAATGGACAAGACAATTTCATAAGACCATCTCCAATGGCCAACAATCTCAACAATTTTTTGATGCAATGGCAAGGCAAGTAGGAAGGCATTTGAAAAGGAGGGGAGAGAAAGTGAGGAGAAAGGCAAAATTTGCCTTCCTGTTAACTTTCAAAATGGGCCCCACATGTCATAAACTTTTTATAATTATTCTCACCTTGTTTTTAAATGACTTTTTTGATCAATAATTATTTGAAATTATTTTTTTATTTTTCACCACTATTTATTATTTTTTCAAGATCTATAAATAGAGATTAAGTTTGTGTTCTTTGGATACCAAAAAAAATTTAAATTTTTTGCTTAGTTATCATAGTTGAGTGATGTGGAGGAAAGATAAAGTGAAAAAACTTTTTGAAAAACTAGTTGTTGTGAAGTTGAAAGGCAATTGGAAAAAGCAAGTGATGTGGATGAAGAATAAAGTGAGGTGGAAGGAGAGAGAAAGACAATATTTGCCTTGCCATTGGAGATGGTCTAAGGGGGGGTTATTGGTTGGGACAAATTGGGGCCAAGTGGGAAAATTGTTCCAATGGAATAATTTTACCCTTTAGGATATTTTGAGTGGGGTAAAGTGGGATAATGGGATAATTTGAGCCTTTGATTTGATAATTCATGTGAGATAATTGATGATGTGCATCTATTAATTATTTCTAAATTAACTTATCCAATTGGTTTAGTATTTTATTTAGTATATTATTATAATATAAATATTATTTTACTTTATATTAAAATATAATATATTGTACTATACTTACAAATTACTATTATTAATTATTATATTGTATTATATTATATTATATTAGCATGCTATACTATATATAATAATTAATATAATATAATATCAATATATTTAATATAATATTTTAATAATATAATATTATGTCATATATATAATAACTATAATAATATTTTATAAATTAATTATATAATAATATATTATATAATAATATATGCTATTAAAATATTATATAATATTAAAATAAATACGTTATACTATAATTACTAATTAATATTATATAATAACATATTAAATAATACTATTAATATATGTTATTATATAATATTATTAATATATGTTATTAAAATATTATATAATATTAAAATAAATACGTTATACTATAATTACTAATTAATATTATATAATAACATATTAAATAATACTATTAATATATGTTATTATATAATATTATTAATATATGTTATTAAAATATTATATAATATTATAATAAATACCTTATACTATAATTACTCATTAATATTATATAATAATATATTACATAATATTATAAATATATGTTATTAAAATATTATATAATATTATAATAAATACGTTATACTATAATTACTATTATATAATATTATTAATAAATGTTATTAAATTATGTTATTAAAATATTAATATATGTTATATTTTATATATCATATCATATATTTATAATATAATTAGCATGTATTAGTTAAGTAATACAAAAATATTTTAAAATTATCCCAATTGTCTTCAAAGTGGAACAACATTGTTCTAATATGAAGGATGAGGTAAATTTTTACTATTGGAACAAAATTTTTGTATATGAGTGGGGTAATTTTATCCCAAGTTGTGTAATTGTCTCACTAGTGTTCCAAAAAAACCAATAACACAAAAAGGTATTATCCTTGTTTCATTGTCCTAATGAATAACACTATGAAATAGAATCCCTAAAATTATCCCATTATCCCCCAAAATGTCCCAACCAATAACCTCCCCCTAAGCAAAACATAAAATTTTCATGTTTACTTTACCTTGTTGCAATGAGGAATGAGTTATTGCAATGCTCTCATCTTCTCATTAATTATGTCTCTTCTTCTCTGTAGTCAAAAGGAACTGATAGTCAAAGCACAATACAAAAGAAACCTAAAGGAACTGACAGTCAGAGCACAATACAAAAGAAACCTAAGTATCGAATGTAAGGCAATATCACAATACAAAAGAAACCGAAGTATCGAATTCAAGGCAATAAATAACAATAGATATTACCCGCTCCGATAGATTGTGAACTTCAGCAGCACGACTTTTTCTGGTGGATGTAGACCGTTGAGTGTGCTTTTTAGCCTCAATCGATTCATATTCAGCCTCCTACAAAATTTTCAAGTTAAAGATGTAGTTATCAATAGACTGATAAAACGAAAATTCTATATAAATTACGCATAAATTTTCATAGCCAACCTCGCTATGGCATTCAGATTCCTCTGCATCTCTCCCCTTCCTCTTGCTGTTCTGATTGCTCATACTCTGCTTCCCTGTTGTCCTCCCAAAACTACAACCAGACCCACCGGATGAAGAAGTCATAGTAGTATCAAATGTATTTGCGTGAACTCCTTGAAGCGAAATCATCAGTCCTCTGCCTTTTGACTAATTATTTTACTTTCTCTTTCTTAGTAATAATTATTTTACTACATCTTTCTTATTACTAATTATTTTACTTTCTTTTTCATATATCTTCTTTTGTTTTTCTATATTTCCTACATCTAAAATGAATCAGAAAACTTCCAACTTCATTAACCTCCCAACTTTTCCTAACTTTTTGACATTAATGATTTTTTTTAGAATGGCCTCTATGAGGGTAAAAATTAGTTAATACTACTGAATTTTTATCTCCAATTTAATAAGACTCAATTAACAAATTTCCTTTTTTTCTTTTTTACCCTAACAATCAAGCAATTTCAATTGATTCAACAATATTATTAGCAACTTCCTCAGGGTGAAAGACTGATCAAGCATACAAATCCAAACTTTTTCACATAAACAGCTAGATACTTCAATCAACACTTGAGGATCACATGAAAGAACTTGAGGGGAACAAAAAAAATGCAAATTTAACATTTTTAATACAGAAAAACTCAGCAGCAACTAAACCCATCACAATAATCATCAAAATTAAGGGGCTTTAAGCACATTACCACACGTGGAAGAAGTCGTAATTGGAACCCTAGACTTCGATTCTGAATCGGATCCCAAGAATCCCACTCCAATTCCTTAGTCTTCTTCATATAAAACATATAGGACGTAGGATGATGTTACATCATCATTTCCGGCAGTGGCGGATCTACGACGTTTTCAGTGGTGGTTCAAAATATACACTAATTTTTTTTCAAATAATAGAGAAAAAATAATAAAGAAAGAGATATTAAAAGGGGAAAATTTTCTTTTTTTTAAGCAATGATTTGGCTTATATATATAAAAAAAATTATAGAAAGCCTTAAAGGAGTAGACGGAACAAAGGGATAAAAAGAAAGAAAAAGAAGAAAAAAAGAAATATAGGGGAAGTAAAAAAGAAAAGAAGCATAAAATAGAAAAGTTAAGTTGAAAATTAAAGTTTTGAAGGCTAGGAGATTCGATCTCCAGATCTCTTGCATAAGTTCTTAACCAACTTCGACCACTAGGCTGTAGATATGTTTTGTATTGTTACTGATATATATAATATATAAGGTTTCTTGAAAACCTGAGGTGGTTCAAGTGAACCACCTTGAACAAGGGTGGATCCGCCCCTGGGGAAGAGGAAAAGGGGGGAGGGGTTGGAGAGATGGAAGAGGTGGGAGAGGTGTGGAGGGAGGGTCGGGGAGATTATTGGCACCTCTTAAAATCCCCTGACTCTGAGCTTTCTAGGGGAAAGGGGAAAGGGGAAAGGGGAGCAAAATTTTGGGGGGAAAGGGGGCGGCGAAATTTTGGGGGAAAAGGCAGGGGTTGATGAGTAAATTTTTTTTTTTAAAATGGGTTATCTATCCTAGACGGAAATTTATGCTAGGATGTATCGGATATTCCATCTAGGATAGCTAACCCATTTTTTTTTTAAAAAAAAAAAATTAAAAAAACAATATATTTTGCTATCATAGACCGAAATTTTCGTTTAGGATGTTTATCCTAGACGGAATATTCTAGACGAAAGATTACTTTGAACCAACCCTTCAGGATAAAAGGAACAGCATCGCAACAAAAAAAATTAGAGAAGATTTAGGAAAAAGAAGGCATTGCTTAAACCCTAGAAATTTCAAGCAAAACCTTGAAGAAAAAAATATATAAAAATGAGAGGAAATCACTAAACTTCTCGTCTTACCAAACTCAGCCCTTTAGGGACTAAAGGAACAAAATCACAACAAGTTAAAGAAGAATGGGAAAAAAAGGACCGAATGCAGTTGCTTAAACCCTAGAAATTTAAACCAAAATTACCCAAGTTTTCGGGCTAATTTGTTTGCTTCGCTTCACTCCTCGGAAATCCTTTTTTTTTTTGTTAAGTCCCCTCTCCCTCTCAAAGTTTTATCATCTGATGTTTGTTTTTCTTTGCCTTGTCATTTATCCAACTCTTGTATGCACCTTGTTTTTTTTTCCTATCTTACTCTGAGCAGTTAGCATCCAATAAAAAAGATCTGATTTCTTCACCATAACACTCTACTTTTTATGATGTTTTCTTCTAGTCATAAAACTAATGTTATCGCATCAAAATATTTATATATATCTATATAAAATAAGAAAATGTTGTGATAAACTTCTGAATCTTTTTAATTAATGCAGAATGAGGCCTTTCTTAAAAAGGGTTTCGGAGATACAGTTTCGGACAGAAATTCTCTTGTATTTGACCCTTCTCTTGGGGATCGTATTATTTATGTAAGATTTAGTCAATCACATTATATGAGGGTACATTTTTTCATCAATTACATTTCGGTTAAATTATATTGTCAATATCTAAGCTTAATTGAATTTCTAATCTCAATTACCCTGGGGGACTTGTATGAACAACCTATCTAGTACACTCTTTGTTAGACCCTAGAGGGGGGTGATTAGGGTCTTATGCTAATCTAATCCGATTATGTGCCAATTAAAACTATTAACAGAATATCCTAGCAAGAATGAAATGCAATAAGATATATTAGCTAAGATAAGGCAATGTGAACAAAGAAATATATCCTAGCAAAGAGATATACTTTGAGATATATATATGCAAGGATATGAAACTAACACAAGGGTAAACAATATGAAATAAGATAGTGGATGATATAAATAATGAGACAATGATGATATGAGCAATGAGCACAAATATAAATAAACGCCAAAGCACACTCAAACACAATCAAATGATCACGGAGTTCGGACCTTCCGTCCTACGTCTCCGCTCTCCACTCCCGGGGAGAAATCCACTATCACAATCCGGTTTGGAAGCCGGAACTACTACACACTCGGTTTTCTAGCTAACCGAAAACTCTACAACTCACACTATTACAAACCCACTCTACACCCCCACAAGTGTTGGACCTAGCCGTGTCTCCCTCAAGTGCTCGGTTACAACCTCTCCCTAGGTTCGTCAACTGACGCCACTCCTCTTGGGACGATCCCCAACTCTCACCACACGCTCCTCTCGGTGTACAAGTATATTACAAAGTGATCTCACGATTAAGCACAATACAAAGAATGATTGTTCTCTAATAGAGAACACAATAAAAGCTCACACTCAATTGATACAACTCTCACCAACCCAAATATACTATGTATGTAAATACAATAAGCTCAAGTGGTTGTGTATGTAAACAATGAGTAAATCAAAATCAAACTAAACTCAATACAAATGCTAGCTTATAGAAATGTAAATCAAACGTATAAATAGCTAAATATGAGTTTAGAGATTCTTCTCTGAATAACAAGATGGAAAGATGAAGATTGCTCAAACAATGTAGATGATCTCCTCCACTTGTGAACCAACCAAAAACAGCTTTAAACCAAACTTAAACCCCTGTTAAAACTTTTATAAACTTGTTTAAAACATCCCATTGGTTACTGAGATAGAAGGGGGTTTGGGGGTTTATATAGGAAGAGGAAGCAGTAGCAAAAAAACCCAAAGGAAAAGACCAAACAGCCCAAGAATCAGAAATCTGATTCTGTACCAAAAGAACCGTTGGGATAAATGGTGGTGCAACAAAAACAACAGGAAAAGCTCCAGAGACTTCGGCGGTCGGCCGTGGTGGTCGACCGTGGGAAATCTCGAGCTCACGGTCGACCGCGGCGGTCGACCGTGAAAGTCTCTGCTGCCCACTGACGAAAGAACTCAGGCGCAGTCGACCGTGGCGGTTGACTGTGAACTGATATATGAAATTCCAGGTTTTAAAAATAGTTTGCTGATTTTAAAACACTGTTTAAAAATATCAAATAAATTTCAAAAATTATGAAACTTTGAAAAATGATTGTAGACATGATAATACACATGCTACAAAAACTGATTTTCTAAAAGGACTTCTCAAATGAGAAATATCATCATTTTAAAAAATAGTCCAAAACACGAAAATGTAAACATATGAATTTTGACATTTAGGCTAAACCATGTTTTGAAACTTTGCACAATAATTATGTAGACTTAATAAAATATGTATATGATTATTGTTAAGTCCAAAAACTAAGAATATAATATTTTTACAAATACAATAGAAAAATAAAACATATGAGTATGTATATGAAATATATTTGTTTCATATCTAAGTAGTTAAACCAAATCACAATAATAAATATGAAATATGTAATTTCATATTTATAACCATAAAAACCAAAACTTGTGTTGTATATATATATGACTACATATATATACAAGGAAACTAATAAAATGTGTGTGTATATGATATTGAGCTTAGAGTATCTAACACACATAATATAAAACCTAAACTAGATTACTCAAGCCGATCTTGATCTTCAATAAGCTTGACTTGGTACACTATGCAGATGAAGCTGAACTTGGATCTTGAACTTGAATTGCATAAGCATCACTCCATAATTCCGCCAACCTCCATTTGATATTATCGTTGAAGCGTTATTCCATCCATCCTCCAACACGTTGTTTGCCTAGAATAAATACGAAAACACAAATACTAGACAAACAACATTAGATGTAAATTGTTTGCTAAATCACCATCAAAACAAGAAGGCCAACACTCTTTACCTTAATTTGGGTCTTGTGACTCTTTTTTTTTTGGTCAATGAAGAATTTTATTCATTTACCAAAATGGAAAGTATTTGTACATCAGATATACAGTATATGAACTGGAAAAACAATCAAGAAATCAACAGAAAAAGAAAACTAAGGCCAGCTAAGTATATACAATGGTTTTATAGTGATATAAGCCATTCTTTTTTTTTCCGCTGGATATGAACCATTTAATATGATAGTCATGATATCAACTTTGATTTCTTTGATAATCTGCTCAACACTCTTGGATTTTGATTTGAAGAATCTGGTGTTGCGCTCCCTCCACAACCTGTAGATAGTAGAAGAAAACATCATTCTTTTCACTTTTTTCTTAAAACCTCTTCCTCTCAGCCTGTAAATGAATCAATCTAACAAGCGATTCCAGTCACAAGTCTTCCAATCGAATTGAAGCCAATCCATGATCCCATTCCAAACTGCATTCGTGAAGCTGCATTCAAAAAAGAGATGATTTCGGGATTCCAGAACAGTATCATTACATAAGCAACAGAGGCCAGTGTTGATGATTCCTCTTTTGAGCAATCGATCTCTTGTAAGAAGCCTGTTTTGTACAGCTAGCCACAGAATGAAACAGTGCTTTGGGTAGCTCAAGTTATCCCATACTGTTGTGAACCATGGAACCTTAGTAGTTGCTGGGGAAATTTTTAAATAAAGCTCAGATAAACACACTTTTGAATTCCTATGACAAGAGCTGATGATTTGCTTCAAAACATCAACACTTCCACAACTTGCAATAGCCTTATTCCTGACTTTGAGCAGTTGTTTCCAAAACCAAGAATCCCATTTTTTCACGTAACTTGCCAAATTAATGTATCTTTTAAATAGTTGCAGTGGATCCATTTTAACCACAGTAACTCCTTATGTGTATGTATATACCATATGGTTCTTAATGCAGAGGCTATGTTCCATGTATTTGCTAAGAATATCCTCAATCCTCCATATTTTTTTTCTTTACAAACTTTATCCTAAGCAACCGGTGGGGATTTAAAAGCCTAATTTGTTTTGCCCCATATGAAATCTCTACACAAAT